TTAAGAGGCTGAATAGAGCCACATTGAAATGCATGGGGATGGTTTTGTAATTTCACGTCATTATCGAAAAAAAATTGTACGTATTTCAGGTGGCGGTTTGCAAAACACGATTCCACAAAAATTAACTCAATAGAAAATAATTGCAAAGTTGCTTCTAAAAATACATAAATTTTCAACGTCAATTTTTTTTTACGTGGTAGAGCCATGCTACAGCTATATTTATTAGGTATAGTTGTAGCACGAATGGGTCGGCTCGACCGGGGAAGGGCCACGCTCTCACGGAATAACATGTAAAATAGCAGTTTAACCCTGCTGTGTTTCGTATGGTGAGTGTAGAGAACCGGAGGACCTTTTTACTGGAAACGAGGCATTACATCTTAGTCCTCAAGGGTGACAACGCATCTATGTTTTGATACGTAATCGAGGATAGATGTAGATGTGTATGGGCCGTAGCAACCTCTTACCATCAGGTGGACTGTGTGCTCGTTTGTCACCCTTATTCTATTTAAAAAAAAAACTTTCTGAGATTTCAGTAAAATAATGTTAAGTATTGTAAGCACTCGTACAATTATGTCTCATGTTAATAAAGCTATTGGGGTATTTTGATTTGTAATAAAGTGATTTTACTTTATAGGTTAAATAATTTATTTACCTTTCTATATCAAGAACCGTTTTTCTGTCGCTCCTATTGAATTTGACAGTGCTTCCTGAAATTTAGCATTTTTAGATGGATCAGAATCGCCCGCTGATCCGGCTGTTAGATATTGCAAAAATAATCGAAAATATTTATTTTTACTTTCATGCCCAAGACTACCTTGTTTTATTTTATTACGGTCAAATAATATTTATAAGGTTATAAAGCAAGTATTTTTGTAAATGTTTTGTATGTAAATGTAAAGGTTTTCATTATTTTGTTTTTTTTTGTTTTTGTTGTTTTCATTATTTTCATCAAGAACTATAATATATATATATATATATTTGTTTTTTTTACCAGTAGAGTTTTAACAAAATCTTAAAAAAGTTCAATGAATTAAAATAATGCCAATAATTATATAATTTCAAGTCAGTGTTTTACATTTAAAGATCAGTTATAAAAAGCCAATGTTATTATTTTCATTTTGATTAACTTAATTCAAGACTAAAATAAATGTGAAAGGGCTTTTATCTGCAATAATAATTTTCATCAAAAATAACATAGACTTGTAAAAGTCATATACACGGTCAATCATACTGAAGATTATCAATTGTACTACAAAATATTTAATAGACTATTTCCAGTATAATGACCCGAATATCATCATTAATGTTTGACTGGCACACTTAAAAGTTTTATCACATGGCTAAATGATTGACTTTTATATTATGATAAGGTCATGCTTTTCTATAAAAAGTTGCAAGAAATTTTAATTGCCGGCCCTATTGGTTTGTATTACTTTTTACTTAATTAGTGAAAAACAAAATGGACTGATCTAAAAGTTTACTTTCTTGTGTAAAAAGTGCTATTTAGAATTTTATGCAAATGATAATTAAAGTTTCTATGTAAATAAGTGTAACATAGCGGGAATTATATTCAATGGTAGCGGCCATCCGTATTTGCAAAGCCAGCATCATTTTCTGTACAGAAACCGGCAGTGTTGCTCAAGGCACTATAAACAAAGCAGCTGATAAAATGTTACACTCATAACTGTTAACAAAAACTGTTTTCCCAAATGGTCTTATAGATAATAATAACTATTCCGCCGTGTTAGGTGCAAGAGCTATTATTAGAAGGAGAAGAGTTTGTTGTGTTGTTGTTTTGTCTGCAATTGAGCATAAAATAAAAAATAACCTCAGCCAAAGAGCATAACTGGCATTATACTCAGGCTCATCAATTGATATGGAAAAAAATAATTTTACCAGGTTTCAAAATATCAATCAAAATTCAAAAAACATAAATATTAAAATCAAAAAATGTATAAATGTATGTCTATACATACATATAATGATTTATGGCCGCTTAGTAACTGACGGTGACTCACTATAACATCGTACAGTCACGCCGTAACTAAGAGGAGAGAATCACTGTAGAAAAGGTAATAATTTATTGCGGAAATTTTGTGATAAAATTAAAAAAAATATAAACTTATCCAAGTTAATCTAACTTAGTCTAATTTATCCTTATGCGTACAAAAAAAAACAAATAATAAAATAGTGAAATGGCGTCAGTTTTTAAGAAGATATAACAAAAAAAAAAAAGATAAATTTCAATAAAGTTCAGTATTTAATTGTAATATTCCGCTGACACTTAATCACGCTTTTCGAAACCACGCCAGTTGTAAACAATACTTGTGTGAAAAGACAAAATCTTCTTTTCAAATTTCTGCCGAGTTGTAAGTAGAAGGTCACGTGTCAATTTTAATTAAATATATTTTATATGAAGTGATCTTGACTACGTTTCATCAATTAACCATTGGTAAAAATTAAAACAGGAATTTTACGATTGTGTTTACAAAAAACATTATTAGTTGAACCTTGCAGCTTGTTCATTATTTTTAGTATAAATACCTATAAATGTATATATTATTAATAAATAGTTCCCATAATATATTGGATTATTTTTTATTTTGCCCTATCTGCAATGTTCTACGCTCTATAGAAAATGTGGCGTATGACATGACTGTCAATCTTTCGAACGTTTAATCTAGGTACAAAGATGTTTTACGTTTTCGTCGCCTCTACATGATATTTTTGTCAGCATAAGGTACCCTTCTATATCTGAAACGAATATAAATATTGCTACGAAGTAAAGTAATAGGCTATACAAGTCCCTCTACTGGGCACAGGACTCTTATTTTATTTCTGAGAGGGTTTTAGGGCAAGGTAATGCCCGCCGTGCTTCCCCAATGCGTGTTGACGAAAATTGCAATTACAAATTTCATTCGTGCTGTCGGGTATCAAACCCGGGAAAATTTACAGCGAACGCTTTGACGACATATTTTTAATACGACACAAATAAATACGATTTAATATATATAATAAAAATTCTTACGTACTTGAAACTTGAACACTTGATAGCTCGTGATGCCTACCGGACAAAGCTACAGCACCACACCGTGCAATGTAATTGAAGATGCGTAACCGCGACATAATTCTCAGTGATGCGCAAGCATAACAGGCAGTATGTCACTTATATAATTGTCATCTCTGCAGTCTATTAATCTTTGCACTTTTATAAGTAATACAGAACGTAGTTGCTAGACGGTGTTGACATCGGCTAAAATCTCTGTGATCGCCGTTTCGTCAAGGTCATTCAGGCTAGTTAAAGCCTTAAATGTAAAACACTGACTTGAAATTATATAATTATTAGCAGTTTTTAATTCATTGAACTTTTTTAAGATTGTATTGGATCTCTACTGGTAAAAAAAAAAACAAATATATATATATATATATTATAGTTCTTGATGAAAATAAAGTATGCGCGTTACATCGTATCCCATCAAGAATTTCTAATGTAGGGTAAGGAGTACAATGATTGGCCCTTTAAGGTGATCATTGACTTTGAAAATTTCTTATGCCTAAATAAGGTTCATAATCATATAACATTTGCTGTCAAGTTGTGTCTTAAGAACCTGGGAAATTGAATAAATCAAAACCATAATCATTTTGCATCTAATTAATATTTTTATTGCAATAAACATAAAAAAGGAGCCAAAAGTACAATCATTGGCCATTGGTGTATAGAAATTGGCATATCAAAAGTATAATTATTGGCATGTCATGTCATGTCAATCATTGTACTTTGTGTTTATTAGCACTGCCAATTATTATACCATGTTAGGGTCAATCACTAAAAAAAATATAATATTTAACGATAGTGATGTGCAGGGTATAATTTTTTTTATCGATTTATATTTACATTGAGCTTTCGTCCATATTTAGGTATTCATTATTAAGAAAATTACTAAGTTCTTCTTCATTACGGAATGTCTCTCTTCTGTTTAGTATAGAGTTGGGTTTGGATAAAACGAATGGTACCTTTGTATCAATGCAACTGTTTTCATTAAAAATATTTCTTGGATTATGCATAACTGGCGCCTTCACAACAGACAAAATTTTAATGTTACTTTCTTTATTAGGCTTTGGAGTAGTTTTTTTAATCTGGTCTATATCTAATAACTCAGTCTTGGTATCATCACACTTAAAAATATTGTTCTCAGTCTCTTTATCACATACATCTATTTTAATTTTTTTACTGTATGCAGTGGTTATTGATTTATCATATTTTCTTTTTCGTTCTTTTATTTCGGTTTTTGTTTCCTCTTTATTTTTTCTGTTATTTTCTTAAATTTTTGAGTTTTTATTTAATAGATGCCTAGAAACTTTTTCTTCTTGTCTTAATATTTCAATGTTTTCTAAGTTTTCCGAATCGATTTTCATATTTTTGGTATGCTTTGATATTTTTATTACGCTTTTTAATGTCTGTTTTCTTTTCTCTTCTCTCTCTTTTTTACGTTCTTCTTTCTCTTTTTCTTTTGTTTTCTTCTCATTTTTTTTCTTTTCCTCGATTTCAAGCCATTCACGGCTAGTCAAGACATAAATGGGATTGTGGGTCATAATTTTCCCTTTACGTTGTGGTGTCTGGGGCCAATTGAGAATTTCCTTTAATTTCGGTGGTGTCATTTCGTTATCGCATTTAGCATTGTCAAAATTAAAATCATATTTTTTGTTATTTTCTGTCTCTGCTATTTGGTTTTGGTTATTAATATTTGATTTATTAATAGTCTCTGTAACGTTATCTATTACTAATAAATTTGGGTTTGTTATTTCATTTGATTCTTTGTTTAGAACATTAACAGTCCCTGTACTTTCGCTCGGTTTTTCAACATTATACATTTCAGCAACAGCTTTTAATTTAGGCGACATCAATTGATTAGGGCCTTTAACGACATTATCACTGGTAGGTTCCAGAACATTTAATATTTCATTTTTTAAGTCATTTTGTGTGTCTGAATCTGAATTCGCTATAAGTTGGCATTCATTTTAATAGTATTCCGAATATCTGCTGACAAATCGTAGGACTCTGTTAGGTTTAGGGTCTCCAAATCGTCAAATAAGTCTGTTGTAAGTAATTCAGTATACTCTGTAGTTTCAGTTTCAATAGTGTCAGTATGAGATTCTTCAATATTATTGGAGTTTGAAATTACGATCGGTATGTCATTTATTGTAATCAATTCATTTTCTATTACTAAATAATCGCTTGAAGTAGTACTGTCTTCCTGTTCTATATCTTTACCCTTCAAATGGTCGTATATGTCTTTTAGTGCTTTGTAAAAACAATTTGATTTATCGGGTGTCTCAGAAGTAAGACGGGATACGATGTTTTGTCCCACGATTTTTTCAAAGTCTGTGAATGTAATTGCCCTTTGTGGTCTGTTTTCTTGAATTCTGGTCGATTGGGTCACATTTTTGCCAAGGCATTTTTGGTAGTTAATTGCATTTGGATTCCAAGGATACAATCCACAAGCTCGAAATCCGTTTATAATAATTTGTTTGTCTATATATTTCTTTAATACAATGCTTAGTATTGGACCAAAATCAATTTTTGTCAAATTTTTTGTCGCATTTTCCCTTCTCCATTCTAATACTCCTTTTTTCCATGCACTTTTTATAGGCTTAAAGGCAGCTACATCTGCGGGTTGTAAGATGCGAGTCGCGTTTGGGTATAATGCTATAAGTATTATACCTCTTTCTTTGCATGCTTTGCTAAGTTCAAAATTGATATGACTTTTGTGTCCATCAACAAACAGAAGAATGGGGAATTTTGTATTTTCTTTTACAAGATGTGGATGTAAAACATTAGTAATGTATTGTAAAAATAGATCTTTGTTCATCCATCCATTTGATGACAGACCTATACCCCATTCTGGTGGTACAGACGCCGTAATATCTGCTCTGTTACGTTTGAGTGGGTAGATAATCATCGGTGGTGTAATAACTCCGGTAGCCGAAAATGTGAACATCACTGTCAGTCCACATTTCGCAGGCGCGTTATCCACTTCATACACGTCGCGAGTACCTTTTAGGGCTAAAACTTTGGAGGTTTTTGGACATAACAAGAAATTTGTTTCATCACCGTTAAAAATACGTTTAGGATCTCGTAGGATATGCAGGAATTCTTCTTCTTCTAACCAAGTTTCAATTTGCTGAAACCATTTTTTGATGTTCTTTTCTGATACATTGGCACTTGCCGAAGTAACAGCTTCAGCCGTTCTTTGTACTATTTCGGGGTGACGTTTAAGAAACAACTTGTACCACCCCTCTCCTGGCTTATTATCTATAAAATTATTTGGCCTAGGTGATTTCTTTAGAAAGTCAGTAACACTATGTAATAGATCTTCTTTACGCCGTGGAAAACCTTTTCTACTGCTTTGTATTATCCACTCAACCAAAGTGTTTTCCTCGTCATTTGTAAGGATTGTAGGCGGACCCGGTCTCGTTTTTAAAAAATTCCCTTGTAATCGAAACTGCAAAGTTCCTCGAGGTATCCCAAATACTTTGGCAGCTGCTCTTTTAGACATACCATTTTGAATTGCTTGGATTGCCGCTTCTAAATCTTCCTCAGTATATTTTTTTTTATATACTTCTCCTTTTGCAGACTTTGGCAT